TTTCACACTGGGTCAGGTACAACCGCTTTGAATAGTTTTTTTTTCTCTCCCTGAATAAATGAAATCACCGTTTAATAACTACATTTTACATTTACTTGGGTTACATTTGTTTGATGATCTTAAACATTGAAGTGGGGAAACCAAGCAAAAAAGTAAGAATTTGAGAAGAGGGAGAATGCTTTTTCAAGTCGCTGTATGCACGCCGCTTTCAATGCTGCCTCTGATTTCGGCTCACCTGCTGTTTCCATGTTCGCGTTTAATGAGCCGTTAGCCTCAAGCATTTAGCTTTTACACTCGGCGAAATTAACAAGACACGAATTTGGCATTTTTAAGACCTTTGGAAATCCGATTGAAATCAGTGGTATTTTGAGGATAATTAAGGAAAAATCCAAACTGTGGACACTAGCCACGATAGCCTCATTTCTGAAGCTACTTTCTTATATTTGATGCTTGTGTGGGTGTTTGCTCCCCTAAGGACCTGAAAGTGAATAAATATTAGCGTGGTGGGCGTAGCGCTATAATGTAAACATGCTCTCCACCCGATGTGTTTCTTTGAGGTCGAGCAAGGAGCATTCGCTGGTATGATCGCAATAGCAAAAAAAATATTTCCATTTTCAAACGTGCTGAGACCAACATGAATGAACAATGACATTTTAGCGCGGAAGCGCTTGTAATAACCTCACCATTTATGCAGCGGGGTGTATTTATGAATGCGAACCACGTCCTATTTCATCATCCCTGTTCAAGGTTGTCGCTTTTCACCTGGAGGTGGAGCTACCTGGCCGCGACATGGAGGTCCCGACGGCAAATTAGAAACCATTATTTTCAATCACAACATGGAGAAAGCTCTCCAGTTGTCAATACTCGAGTGGGAAATTGTTTTGGGGGGCAGGGCGAGGGGGCTAATAAGATTGCAGTGAGAAAATGGAGCCCGCCGTGTGTTTACTTTGATCCGGATCGATATGGCACACGGTTTCCCCCCCATGGTGGAAACCGCTGTGGAAAAAAAGGTCATGGCGAACACGCGTAGAGCGCATCCTTCATGACTGCAGATGTGCACTTAGAACTTGACATACCAAACGCTACGTGACGGATTCAAGATGCGTCCCTTGTTACACCTGATAAATTCCCAGCCAAAGAAACAAGTCACATACACAAAGGAGATGATTTCACATGCGATTGTTCCACTTCTGACACACACACACACACAACAACAGGAATCCCTTTACGATCCGCTGAGTGCCTCATTGGTCTCTGAGCAGTAGCCTGCTAATTGGCAGCCCACCTGTGACTCGAAGAATCAACTGGCCACTGGCCAAGATGACAGCTAATTTGGGTAGCATTCTCTATTACACAACCTGCCCGATTCCAACCCATTTTCAAGGTCAGAAACAGGCATGGCCCCTCGTGAAAAACCCTGTGGCTGGCCATCCCACTTCTGACACCAAAAACTGTATACTGACTACGAGCTAGGGTATTTGCATAGTATCCAGATGGCGGAGTGATTAAATTCCCCATCATACTACCTGCCATGTTCCAACGCATCTCCAAGCTTAAAAACAATTCTCCCAACCTCAAGTGGCCTTTCCTCATGACCGTTTATCCCACTTCTGATCCCACAACTCTGAAAAAAAAAAAAACGTACTATACCCGTACCAGTATGCAAAAAAAGGTGTCTCACCTCTATCTAGACTCAATGATAGATGAGCACCTGTTCCAACATCTGCTTTACATCTGATTATTCCGCTACTGGTCACTCAACAGGTAGCCAGATGAATGACGGCATTTTCCCGCCACACTACCATTCCAACCGATGTACAGAATCACATACATTTCCCCCCCGTCTCTGAGCGGTTAACCCATGACACCAAACATTTGTCAGCATGGAAGAAGCTCCACTCTGACTGCCTTAAGGATCAATTGTGGAGATACCTGATAGCATTCATCAGTTATTTTCCAACAAAACTGACCTATCGATTTCAAATCAAAAGTGCTGTTTTTGTCTGTAAGTCACAATTGGCCTTAACCTTCACCCTCATATTTACAAACAGATCATCTCGGTGGCAGAGTGGCACATTTGACGCTAAGTGGTCCAAAGTGATTGTCGTCTTTCCAAAAGAGACAACAGGCTTAAATAACAACAAAATGCGAAGCACACAACTTCCCGCAGGGTGAATCATGCTAAAAAAAAAAAAAGAAAAAAGAAAAAGTCACCTTGAGTGCTTGAAGAGAGAGAACAATACTTGCAGTTATTAGATTTCTGAGTAGATGCTGACACTACTCACCTTGGGGCAAACAATAAATGAATAATAATAAATAAATTTAAGTGGTTTGCTTCCATGCGTGTTGCCGAGAGTGTGATGAGGCGTCAAGCTGTTTAACTGGTCGTGGTTGGCTGGTGTTTCAGTTGAAAGAGCTTCGCGAAAGTTCTCTCTTTGCCCGATAGAAGAGACCAGTGAAAAAAAAAAATCCAGCACCAATAGATTTATTGATCCTCCACTTCTTTGCTTCCTTCTTTGTCTTCTTCCCCCAAGATGAGATAATGTAAGATTCCCGGTGAGACTCGATACAGGCCAGCGTGCTTCCTGTTTAGTCAGGATTCATTCTGAGTTACAGCGCTACAAATGCCGTGATAATGAAAAGGGCCTCATCAAACCTGTGATATAGGTGGTGGAAGGTTTTAGACTTAAGACCCTATAGAGCAGGGGTGGGCAAAGTATGGTCCACAGGTCACATCGTATATGGACTGCACAGTTCTAGCATGTAGCTAGCTAACTAGCATCATTGTTCAGGTAAGGATGTCAACATGTGACATAAGCAGTCCTTTTCAAGAAGGGTATGGATCAAAAGGACATTGTAAAAAAAAAAAAAGATCACATTGGGAATTTCCAAAATGCCCCTGTTGTGCAGCTTCACAAATCACACAACACATGACCTCATTTTCAACAACTTTTTCATGATGAAGCAGCCTGGTGTTCACGTGTCAAAATGAAATCTAATGGAAGCGCGTACTTGATATTAAAGCCCTTTCAGCGGCGGGCTGATGCACCTCGTGGGCTTTCGGGCTGGCGGTGCATAAACACAAATACAACAATGCGAGGAGAGAGAGAAAAAGCCGAGTAACGCCTACACAGGGTCCAACTTTTTTGGTTTTCCTCTTCGGCAGTTTTGAACCACACGGGAGCTTATGACTTACAAGTGAGAAGATGCCAGCAAACACTTTCAGTGCCAGGCTGGCTTTCTGTTGAAGCCTCAAATTTGGGTTTGTTCTTGTCAAGGGAAAGGATGTTTTAAATCGGCTAAGACAGTCTCCTGACTGAAAACCCAAAGAGCATGCTATAATTTCAATGTCAAAGATAACTAGATAAAAGTATTTTGAGGTGTAACCAACATGAAAAAGCCGTCTTTGGATTTAAAAAAAAAAAAAAAAAAAAAAAACTTGTCAAGTTGAAGGTTTTGTGGGTTTTACTTCAACCCCATAGCGTATTTCAGATTAGGTGTAAATGACCCGTGACGGCAAACGCTTTGTTTATACTTGACAGAGCTGCAACTAACCAGATGTATTAATGCCGGGAAAATAATTGTGACGCTTCGGAGGAAGGTTTAAGACTGGCCAAACAATCTTCAGAATTAAAGCATTTTTTTTGGGTTCTCCAGGGAGAACCACCCACACTGGAAAAATAGAACTGTTCCAATACTTTTAGAGGAGACTCAATATGTACATTGTCAGTTTTGGTTCACATACCTCAGTTTGCAGCTTTCTTTTTTTTTTTTTCCAAGGATATTTCAGCCAAACCTTTCTTGGCTTTTGAATTAATAGGTCTGCGACTCATTTTGCGCTCAAAAGCTTTAACGATTTGCTGGAACGGGAAGTCCAAACACTGTGTGCGCCACTGATTTACACGTGCTTTTATGTACTCCAATCATTACAAAAGCGCCAACCATTCAAGTGATCTGGAACAGCTTAGACATTGCAAAATTTGGGTCTGTGCAGGTGTGGATTACATTTGTATGAGTTAGAGGTGTAATCAACACGAAAAACAGATCGATGCCGAAGGGTATGAAGAAAGAAAATTGTGAGTTGTTTCGTCTGGTACAAACATTGAACAGACTAAAACAAATTACGTTGCTCAACATAACAATAGCTGCCAAATTTATGCAAATTGAAATTGTGAATATGTTGCAACAAAAGTGAAAAGCTCAAGAAAATGTTTGGGTTTTTTTCAGAAAAAAAAACTAGAATAGTAAATCCAAATGCTTCTTGGGTTAAGAGCTGCACACTTGGCAGTTTTTAATCACAATGTGCTTGTTTTTGTTTGGGGTCAGATTCTGTAATTTAGAAATTGTCAAGATGGCCTGCAGGTTTTCATCAGTGTGGTGACTCAAATGTCATGCTGTGTTCGTAATGTCGCAATCTTGAATCGCGCGGGTAGTGATCAGAGGCACTTATTGCACGTAACTTGCAATGAGCTTGTTACAAGCTGAAAAAACAGAAGACTAACCTCACTCCTTTTATGAACTAAATGTTTTAAACAAGGAGTAAGTGTATCTTGAGTGTTGCAAAGACCACATCCCAGCCTTTATCTGCTTGTTATCCGGGCTAGGGCACGCTATTAATCAAATGGCTGTATGGGCAGCATGTAATTGGCATAATGGGTCGGAAATGGCCCGCGGCATGCTACCAGTAATGCATTAAAAAAAAAAAAAAAGATGATGACTAAAGCTGTGGAAAGGTTTTCGACGAGCCAATGAACTTGGCTAGTTCAGACTTCAACCCCATAGAGAACGCCACCGGTGAGGCATAAATGATACATAATGACTAAACCAGCGGAAGGTTTTTGACTGGCCAAAAACCTAAAACCGAGAGAACATGACAGTGATTTCATATATATGACCCTTGATTTACTGAAGCCGTGAAAGGTTTTACGCTGACAAAATCCATCTCCCGACTTGAACTCAATAAAGCACGGCACAGATGACGTTTTCTCTAGTGAACTTACAGATGAGAAGTTGTGAGCCCCACAAGGTTCCCCTCTGTACTTGCAGGAGAGCAGCATGTCATCTAGCTGGTGGCTCAGCCGGTTCATGAATTCCAAGTTGGTGCCCTCAAAGTTTCGGGGCGGCAGGAAGAGCCTGAAGTCGGATAGCTTGCCAAACCAGCCTACGCGGTCCTCCTGCAGCAGGTCCAGGACCAGGGGCCGGACGGTACGGTTGGCCAGCAGCAGGCCCAGCCAGTGTCCGGCAAAGTACAGGTCGCTCTTGGTGAGCTTGTAGAGGCGGATGGGGTTGTTGTTGCAGATGGTGACCACGGGGAAGGCCAGCTCCTTGGCCCACTCGGTGTGGACCCGAGTGTAGGTGGGGAAGGACATCCAGTGGAGCAGCCTGTTGGAGGACCAGGACAGAAGCAGGCCCAGGCACGTGCACAGCGCCAGGAGCCAGAAGACTCTTCGACCCAGGGAGCCGCGGGGGACACACACTTGCCTCAGGCCGTGGAGGCGCGTTCGTGAGAGCAGAGCAAAAGTGAGCGCCCGGGTTGTCCCGCGCCGCCGAGTTGCCGCCGGGGACCGATGACGGCGCCCCTCTCGGGCCATGACCGCCGCCCACAGGGCTCCTACAACCGCGGGGACGGCGTCATTTCCCAGCCCGGCTTGCGGGGCTGCGGCCCACATGTAGCTCCAGGGTAAACGGTAAATCCACACCCGGATGAACGCCCCGTTGGCTGGTCAGGGACGGACACTCCCCCTTGAGGTACCGCTGCGCCGGTTCACCGAGCGGACCTGTGGGTCCCTTCTGACGCTGCCGACTCAGCGGAAAGAAATTGAAGAGCGTCCGCCGCTGCAGCTTGTGTGACAGTGCGCGAGAGACGACGCCAAAGGAGGAGGAGGCAGGACAGAATACAAACCAGTCGGGGGTGGGGGGTGACAAACGTGAGATGAGAAGGTAATGAAATCAAGGAGAGCGGAGAACGGCTTCGTTCACGTTCTTTCGTCTACGGCTTTCGGCAACAGTGACTGGACTCACGGAAGCTGATTGGCAGTCCGCGTCCGCTCAAGCGGTCTCACTTCCGTGACTTCCACGTGCCGCTCCTCGCTTGGACGGAAAGGAGCTTGGCAAAGTCACGAAAGTCTGGCGTCCGGGAGCGAAGCAACCACAACAACACAGCAGACGAATTTGTCCTCGCGAATCCTTGGCTCGCCTTCTAAAAATACTCCAATCCATCAACTCCTCGCTCCTCCTCTTCGTCTTCTTTCCCCACTTTCCCTCACGAGCCTTCACTCCCTGACTTCCCCTTACGTTTGGCTCCGCTTTCCGTCCTCTTCTGCTTCCCGCAGCACGCGCCGCGTGATTTGAGCGGAACCCCCCACCCCCACGCTCTCCGCGCCACTGCGCTAACTTGCTCAAGCACCCTTCACCCCCACCCCTTGTCCTTGTTTGTCTGCCGCCGCCGCAATGAAACATGACAACGTGTGTGGATGACAATGTAATAAATCATGGATAAATAAATGTCCAATAAAATGTTTGCAATCATCTTTCGTGAGATTAGAAAGTAATCTAAGTCATAAATACGAAAAGTAAGTAAAAAAAAAAACATGCATATTACAAATAAATACACAAATATAGTACATAAATAAAGATTTGATAAACAAATAACTATCAATACAAAATAAATATGAATTGGATTCATGATAAAAGTGAGTACCTACTTCGACAAAATAGTGCATAAATACTGAAAGTATGAATGTAAATGAATACATGATGTCAATAAATTGCTAAAAATATGACGACAATAAATGCCAATAATAAATGAATACAAACGTTAACAACATATTAAATATGAATATAATAAATACAAAACGCCGGGGTCGCTTCACTTCATTGAGCCAGCAGAGGGCTCTGTGTGGCTTTGATTTGATGACCCACGTTTGTTTTGTTTTCCAAATCAAGACCTCCTACCCTCCCCTTTCTGCAGTTGAGTAAATAAACATCCCCTTTGGTGGCCTGTCAACAAAAAGACAAGAAGCAGGCAGGAAACTCTTCATTTAAAAACATGTTTTGTCTGCAGAACTGACGACTGTGCCGCGTCAAAAGGGTTGGTCGCGCTCAGAAAACTCAAACTCTCAGCCCGAGACCAATCAGCTTGAGTGCTCGTCCATGAATCCAAAACAATTTTTTAGACCACAAAAGAAGCAAACAACGGTGTCGCTATTTTCTCTATGACAATCCTAGATGTCGAGGTCAGACAGGCTACGTTCGCACTACATGGCGTGATACCCAATTCAGATTTTCTCTTTTCGTTAAACCGCTCTTTTCATGTTCTCGTTCACATGACAAAATCAAAGGCGTTAACCGAACGCGTCCGTGATGTGACACGCGTGCACACAAAGCATTACATCGGGTAACAAACACAAAAGACGACACAAGTAAATATGACAATGACTTTACGATGAATTGTAGATCGCGTTAACCGAACGCATCCGTGATGTGACATGGGTGCACACAAAAGACGACACAGGTAAATATGACAATGACTTTACGATGAATTGTAGATTATTTCATCACGTCAATGAGAGTCAGCTTCTACTTATACATAAACATCAACAGTTACTGCGATATGGAGCCAAAGCAATACTGGAAACTGGAAACGATAGCAGGAGGATGATTTTAAAATGTGCCACAGTTGCTTATTCTTTTTCTCTCTCGTTCGTGTCAAAATGCTGAATAAACAGAAAAGAGAGTTTTTATTTGTGCACATCAAATATTTCATGGCTCGCCCTTTTGGACCCGACCGTGTGCTTGTGTTGCCAATTCATTTTTCTCTTTAGACAGCGCTGCTCGGTATTCTAAGGCTGACGCCACCCAGGGAAAAAGACAAAACGAAAATCTACAATGAGCCCTTATGACCTTCGTAAAGAGCACAAGCTGATAAAATGTATTCAGAGGTTAACCGCTGATGATGGCAATTAAAAGAAATAAAACAAATAAACGGTGCTGATGCCTTTTTTTTTTCAACAATCACTAAACACACACGTCTCTAAATAGCTACATTTTGATTACAAAAAAAACAAACATAATGCAGCAAGTGGTAAGCGGCTAGCACAAGACACTAACCTAGCAGTCTTGGTCTTCACTCAGGGGTCATTTTCATGAAGATGGACTCAAATGCACCAGGGTACAATTTTCCTTTTCAAATATGACAGGCGGTTAGACGTAAATCAAGGTCCTTTTGTTTTCGCAATATGGCAGTATAGCAGTTAGCTAACACGGTGTTAGCGCCAGATGCGAATGCAGGAGTCTCTCAATGCTCTGAACATGCAACAAAATCTCGAACAAAGTTCGCAAAACAATAACTTCAGCAAGACATCAGCGTTAATGTTAGCATTCTTCCAGAGTTAAACTTAAATAAAAATGTGGGGAACGGAGATAACGAACTGACTGCACGTGTAATACTGAGAAAGGTCAATTAAGTATTAGCGTGGCTCACGAGCGTCACGGGAAGTCATATGTTATAATGAGAGCAAAATGAAAGGATGGCTAATCCCAACTGAAAAGGCAGAGGTTGCTAAAATGCATCGCTAATGCCCTCATTATGAATTATAAATAAAAAAAGCCTTCTTATGATAATTTCGTGGTGTCATGGCAAAAAAAAAGAAAAACTTTGGTTAACGAGCTGGACATCAATCTTTCATAAGCCTTTCACACAAAACTCGCTGAAAGTGGACACTGCAGTGTTGACACACAACTACATGCATGTTATTCTCGAGGAGCATTATTAAACGTATGGCGCATGGACGTCACAGAGTGTTAGAGGATGCAGCAAAAGAAATAGTTTAGCCCTCCAGGGACGCTCTGTCTCACGTGCTTGTGATGAAGGAGGCGTGGGGGCTGTGTCTAAAAGGTCAGCGTATAACATCAACCTTCAGTCTGAATGATGGCGCTGACATTTCAACAAGAGCCCCGCCCACAATTCACCATGACCGTGGAGATGGGTGGCACATGTCATGTTTCTGCATACATTTAATGTACTTTTAACTCTTTAGCAAACCCAACCAACCAAGATAATCCTTCCCGATGTGGCGGTAAATTCAAACTCCTGTTCTAGGGTTATCATCATGTTGCATGCTGGACCGGTGGTTACCACATCTTGGGTTCTGATGGGTTTTTTTTGGTCATTATGTGCCTGTTTGCAGCAACCAGGCAGTCATGATATGGCCTTAAAAAAAAGGGGGGGGGGTGTTATTTTTTATTCAAACATGGCCTTTTTCTTCTCCTTTTTGGTGTCAAATCAAATGGCAATGTCACTATTCACAACTAGTTTTGCTTTTATTTTTTTTCACCATTCTGGAATTTGCTTTGCCTCTAACCAAACAAACGTTTGAAAAATTGAAACTGAAATAAACAGAATATAAATACATAATGTGAATAGAAGCTCTTTCTTTGAAAAAAAATATCAGTTTTGCCATGGATGTAAATGAAGTAATTAACTCCGTGATTGCCTTCCAGCGGGCTCCTTTATTTTTTTATCATATGGAAAACAATATGAAAATGATTCCCTTCATGTTGTCAGTTTCTGATTGGAATTAAAAGTAGTTGGTCAATTTTGTTGAAAACTAGCCACGAGAGAGGTCCGAAAACTGGGTAAATATAGCAGCCAAATCAAAACATTTGCAACACTGTGCTTTTGTTAACGACGGCATTTCCAAATTGGCTTCTCCGGTTATTGTGTTTCATTGTTCCATTTCATCTAACTAATCATGTGATCCTGGTCCAACATTTTTTTTAAGTCTTTTCTGAGCGGCTGCCAAGCTATCTGATGCTGACTCACGTTGCCAAAAAATAACCACAATGTGCTTTGGGGCTCGCTCCATTTTGCTTGCAGGATTAAACAAAGAAGGAAAAACAAGAAGAAACAAACAGAGTAAAAAGTGTATCTACAGAGCGAGACGACGTTTCTTTTGTGTGTTGCTTCCTGCTAAGTCGCATTTTGAGAGCAACCACTTCCCCCTGCACCACTTTCTGGGTCTTCACCGATCTCATCAATCAACAGCCATGCAAATCAACGCACCATGAATAGGTTATGATATCTGTGATGACTCCTCATTTTATAATCAAGATCTCTATTCAGAAGACATCATCGCCAGTCAGATCCAAAAGGAACAAGTTCACACTGAGAGGAATCTGAAATACAAACATCACATTTGTTGATTTGTGCGCATCAAGCTAATTGCTGATACACAGTGGAACCTCTAATCCACAGGCGACTTTCAATCCATTCATTTTCTGTCGCACTTGTCCTCATTAGGGGAGCTAGAGGCTGTCCCCACTGACTTTGGGTGAAAGGAGAGGTACAGCCTGAACTGGTCAGCGGCCAACTAACTGCAGGGCATATCCTGTGGATATAAACAAACAAGCACTCACACTTTTGTTCACGCCTAAATTGTCCAATTTAGAGCAGTGGCGGGCAAAATCAAAAGGCCACTTGAGATTTTTTTTTTTAAAAGAACAGAAGGGGCAGAGGTCATTCATAGATGGAAAAAAAAAAGTCTGAAATATGTACTTTTGGCGCTTAAATTCAGATAAGGATGCAAGCCTCCTTTCGAACAAACTTTAGACCGTTGTCATAGCATCGGGTAATAATGTCATGGCTGTGATTCCCTCCACATTAGCTGTTTGCGGCCTTAATTAAAGCTCACTGTTCCCTGACAATCCACTTGCGCTCCGTCATATGCCGCCATAATCTCTCACCGGGACAGGAGGAAAATCCTCCTCGGTGGCTGAAGCGGATCAGCGGAAGCCTTTGAAGTTTTGTCAGAACATCCAACCGCCTTGAAGATGCAAAGCCACGCCGATGAACGGATGTGTGAACAGTTCAACGTCGGCAGCAATTTCACACAAGGCTACACCGCGCCAGGCCTGATGTGCACGCACGTGTGAATACATTATGTTAATCTCTACACTTTCATCTTCGAGAGTTTATTATGCAAGACTTTATTATTCAGTACAGTGACTCCTCTACAGCAGCCGATTCCTTTCAATACACATTACAATTGACACTTAGCATATGCGAGCTCATTGAAATCGAAAAAGTTAGCATACAACAGAATTTCACGATCCTAGATTCTCTCTGGGACAAAATTTCTTTTGTAAACATCACAGACACTTGAGCATCTTTCTGTGACATAAACTGATTCAACACGGAGGCATTTGCGAGGCCTATATAGGTGGCAAAGCGTTTTAGTTACATTACGAGCTAAATAAGCTAATTAGCACTCGCGGACCCCCATGGGCTTACCAGTCAGAGTGGCACTTTTCCGCTCAGTTGGCGGCTTTTTTTGAGCCAGCAGCTGAGGGCCATTCGGCAGTATTAAAACAAACACACTGGCTGAGATGATAATAATGAAACCACAAACGCAAACACTCAAAAAAATGTTTCGGAATGAATTAGCGCAGTTGCGGCGAGGAAAATAGCCGTTCCCCAAGTGAGAGTTTGTATGAGTCCACTTCAAATCAAACATGGCTGACTTGGTTTTCAATTTTTTGCACGGGTCCTTGAGACGTCCTTGTGGGTCTTGTTATAATTGGGACTGTTCAAAGTGGG